AACCCTTTCATAAATGCTTTAAAGTTTCAAACATCTTCAAATTTGTTGGTAATGTTGATGTTCATGATGTACGATTGGTAGTTTATGTTATATATACAGACATTAACATGATCCGCTGAAGAGCAAACTTTCAGGTATACATTAAGCAGAGGAAAAGATTCGGGAAGACTTAATGAACTGCAAAGCCAAACCTAGAACAAGTTCTTTATGAAAGAAGTATCACACTACTTATAGATGTAGAGTTAGTGGGTAGGCCTAGCCTTTGGCCTATAGCATTAAATGGGAAACATAGGATTAGGTGTTTGTTAATTGGGGGTATGCATTAACGGTGCTGGAGTTTCTAAATGCTTTAAGTAGATTATGTGAACGTTTGAATGAGTACATTATAGCTCCCATGAAGTAAATGGTTGATATACTTACCAATGGTTGCATATTATAGAATGTGTACACCTATTTGTGTTGTGTGGAAAGATAAGTTTTTGACATACTGTTTTCCTTCTATGAATATACAGGGGCCTGATGGCCATTAATAGTTTAGTGATTCACCTCTAACAAGTGGAAGAATACTTTATTTAGGCCAGTCAATTGCCAAGAAAACAATTCATTATTGCTCATACATACAATTGACATAGTTCTTTATCAACACAGTTTACGCTTCTTATCCACCTAACTGATTTTTCCGACACTTATTTGAATTAGTTAGTCACAATTTCACACTCACAATTTCAATGTCACAATCAAGTTAGTTACTCCAATACAATAGTGTACCTAATGGGTTCCAGAGTACAGCATACCAATGAAAACTAAGAATATTTTCTGTATACCCTATATGCAACAAACGATGAGAGATATAAGCCACTCACATGACTTGGAGGGATGTGCTTTCCACTTAGCAGATCCAGAAGGACAGTTCCAAAGCTATATACAACACTTTCAGGGGTGACACGTCCTACAATGTATAAAGATAATGCCGTTAGAATTAGTAAGAGGCATACAACAAAGGTTACTCTTTACATTTCACACAAGGAAACAAGTGTCCTGAATATGATGACAACTATTAAAAAAACAGTTCTATTCATGAAAACATATGAAAGGAGAGCAACTCAAATTCACTTACCCTTAAACCAATGTTTGTAGCATATGATGACTATGAACAGCTACTAATGCATTTGTATAACACCACAAGAACCATTCGAATTATTTGGCGTACAAAAGCGATAACCATTGTTAGATGCAATTCAGTAGAAAATTACAAAGAAAATTAGTNAAAAAAACAGTTCTATTCATGAAAACATATGAAAGGAGAGCAACTCAAATTCACTTACCCTTAAACCAATGTTTGTAGCATATGATGACTATGAACAGCTACTAATGCATTTGTATAACACCACAAGAACCATTTGAATTATTTGGCGTACAAAAGCGATAACCATTGTTAGATGCAATTCAGTAGAAAATTACAAAGAAAATTAGCACTAATATGAAAAACAAGCTACAATGGATGGCCTTAGGTGGAGTTCCCATGGTATTGTTTCAGAGTAAGAGCATGTGTCTTCAGATTCTGTGTGAAACTTAGCTAGATCAAGCACTATAGACTAATTTGAGAATCTAGTAACAACCATTATGTCACCGGTCTTCTCTCACCAATTAGGAAATAATGCATTCAGATTCCAATTTTAATACCTAGTGATTTGTTTGGTACAATGGAAAAATGAAAAGATGAAAAATTAGAGGTATAAGTAAAACATCATGTTTGATAAAGAAGGAAATAGGAAAGATGAAAAAGTGTATAGATTATCTTTCCATCCAACTCACCAAAATCTATCCCTCTAAAATTGAGAGAAAAAGTTGATGAAAAGTTAATTATGTGTGTTGAAATGTATATTATTTACTTACTAGTTATTTCTCGTGCCCGAAGACACGGAGTAATAAAAATANAGGTATAAGTAAAACATCATGTTTGATAAAGAAGGAAATAGGAAAGATGAAAAAGTGTATAGATTATCTTTCCATCCAACTCATCAAAATCTATCCCTCTAAAATTGAGAGAAAAAGTGGATGAAAAGTTAATTATGTGTGTTGAAATGTATATTATTTACTTACTAGTTATTTCTCGTGCCCGAAGACACGGAGTAATAAAAATGNACCCTTTCATAAATGCTTTAAAGTTTCAAACATCTTCAAATTTGTTGGTAATGTTGATGTTCATGATGTACGATTGGTAGTTTATGTTATATATACAGACATTAACATGATCCGCTGAAGAGCAAACTTTCAGGTATACATTAAGCAGAGGAAAAGATTCGGGAAGACTTAATGAACTGCAAAGCCAAACCTAGAACAAGTTCTTTATGAAAGAAGTATCACACTACTTATAGATGTAGAGTTAGTGGGTAGGCCTAGCCTTTGGCCTATAGCATTAAATGGGAAACATAGGATTAGGTGTTTGTTAATTGGGGGTATGCATTAACGGTGCTGGAGTTTCTAAATGCTTTAAGTAGATTATGTGAACGTTTGAATGAGTACATTATAGCTCCCATGAAGTAAATGGTTGATATACTTACCAATGGTTGCANTATTCACATCCAAAATCAAATTACAAAGATAGAGAACAGAGAAAATAATTTAAGCACCGGTTGCAGTGAGGGAGAGCGGTGGTACTTGTGATGGGTGACAGTGATAGTGGTAAGAGACGGTAATGATTGTGGTAGATGGTGACAACTGTGGTGGTGGCAGCCGTGGGTGGCAATAGTGATGGTGGTGGGCGACGATGATGATGATTGATAGTAGTGGTGGTGGGGCAGCGACATTGGTGGGACAACGACAATGGTGGGTGGCGGTGGGCAACGGGTGGTGATGAGTTATGATAGTGGGTGGAGGCGGTGGCTGACGATGGTGGTGGGGCGACGACAGTGGTGAGTGGCGGTGGGCAACAGGTGATGGTGGGTTATGGTAGTGGGTGGCGATGGGTGGTGATGGTGGGCGACTATGGTAGTGATAATAAATATAAGAATGAGATAATGATAATGGTGGGTGGTGGCGGTGGGCGACAGTGGTAGTAATTGGTGATGGGTGACAATAGTGGTGGATAGTGATGGGTGGTGGCGATAGTGGTAGTGATGGTGGTGGTGGTGATGGTTGTGACAGAAATGGTAGTGGGGTAACAGCGATGGTGGTGGTATTAGTGGTGGTTGTGGTGGTGGCGACAGTGGGGCGGCGACAGCGATGGTGATTATAGCAGAGGTGGTGATGGGGTGGTGGCGGTGGCAGTAGTGGTAATGGTGGTAAGAGTTGGGCGGAGGCGATGGTGGTTGGGTGGCGACAACGGTGATGGTGGCGTAGCGGTGTTAATGGTGGGGCAGTGGTGGTAGNGCGATGGTGGTTGGGTGGCGACAACGGTGATGGTGGCGTAGCGGTGTTAATGGTGGGTCAGTGGTGATAATGATGGTGGGTCATTCCAAACACTATTTTTTTTAAGTGCTTATTAGAAGCATTTTTGAACAATCATCCCAAACACACCTTTAGGGAGCATATTATCCCTATTAAATTTGAGGAGTTAATATTAACCTTCAGATTAACTTTAAAATAAATTTTAAAATGATCTGGACAGCCAAAAACAAAAGTCATTTTATTTATCTTTTAAGATTTAAATTATATTGTACTTTATTTCATAGATATATCCTTTAGTATATGCATATATCATATTTATTTATTACCTCTTATATATACATCAAATTCATGTATAAATACAATAATAAAATATGTATTTATAATTTTTCTATCCTACAAAACACAAAAAAATCAATTATTTTTGCTTGTCATCCCTCATAACAAACACAAAAGAAGGTAAGAAAGATTCCTCTCTTGAAGGATAGAAAGTGTATCACTCCCACTTTTCCTTCTTTCATTTTTCCATCCACCCTACCAAACACACCATAAACAAAGTTTAAATATTGAGACCTGCTTTTGTGAATCTTTTGTTTTTTCAAGGTTCTCATCAATACATGGTTCTGGTTTTAAAAAATGCAATCTGCACATAAGATTTCCTCCACATGGTGATTAATTATTTCAGCCATGGCCCAAACTTGGCCATGATCCACACTAGCTTACTCTAGATTAGACAATTTTTTTTGTTAATTTCATCTCTGGAATTCGTCATCATCCTATGAGCAGTTAAAAAAAACCCTATTCACTGCAACAGCTAAAGAAAATAGGCAATGGCTAATTTTCATGTGTACCCCGGTATAAACAAAATCATTATAAATCTACCACCTACTGATTTAGTTGCTAATGGCGCTCTAACATTAATGCCCTTTTCTACAAGCTTGATATACATTGCATTCACATCTCCCAAAAAGCAGTCGTTTCTCCCACTTTTCTGTTTGTACAGCTTGATGCACGTTGAGGGGTCGCTTATTAGGGAAGCTATTAGAGCTTGATGCACGTTGTTATGCCCAATACCTAAAAGCTTAAGCATTTAGACCAATGGGTAGTCCAACCATTAAAGTTACATCAGAACAGGATCCCTCTTCAGCCTCAATAAATGTCCACATGTGAGACTCAATTGTTACAGTGAATGTTCTATCATGAAGTCACACAAATTGCATATGTAACTTACAACATCTAAACCCTCCTGTTCGAGACACATAAATCTAAGAATGGCAATCTTTACTGCCTACCAGATAATATCTTAACAGGATCTGTTTCTGACGTCAATCAATTTCACAGAGAGAGTACTGCTTCTCTATTTCAATTCTTACACCGATCATCTTATCATGCACCGAAACGATAAAATGCAACTAACTACATCTCCTGAACTTTCAAAAGATGACTTGCACTCTTAATAAAAAGGAGGGGCACAAGCTATGTTGCACTCTTTCCATGTTATAATAACATCCTGGCAAGCTTACTAGATGTTGATGAGCAAGGATAATAAGACTGTCAATGGATTGAAACTATAATTATTCCTCGTAATTATCGATGAAGGTAAGGGGCATTAACGAATAATTTTTTTATATTTCAGCAACACGCTTGTTTTAAATTACCAATCATGAGCCAATTGCAGGTTGAAAAAATGTAAGGATTTTGTATTTGGACAACAAAATGACATGAAAGATTAGAAAATACGTGAAGTAGAGGGCAATCATCAAATTNAATTACCAATCATGAGCCAATTGCAGGTTGAAAAAATGTAAGGATTTTGTATTTGGAAAACAAAATGACATGAAAGATTAGAAAGTACGTGAAGTAGAGGGCAATCATCAAATATAGAATAGATACATAGGATATCAGAAAGAATAAAGAAAGCAGGTGAATCCTCTGTCATATTCAGCACATGAAGGCTAATATGAAAACAGAAGAAACAAATATATATTGGTTTTCAAGCTCGAGAAGTAATTACCATTTCTCATATATTCTGGAGGTGTGTACGCAAGATTTGTGCTATAACTTTTCCCATCCCTACTATTTTTCATCAAACCAAAACAAGAAAGTCGAGGGTCACCGTCCTACAAAGTTCACCAAGTATTAGATATCAACTTAAACAGCAGTTAGAATTGAAAAAAGAACTTTATAGACACATGTACAAGTAAACAGTTAAAAGCTTCAAATTTCAGAAAAAGGAGATAGCTTTCAGCACCTCATCAAAGAGAACCCTATAAGCATTCAGGTCATGGTACAATGGACGGCCTTCTGTGCTACAATAGTCTAAGGCTTCAGCTATATAAGATGCTACTCTTAATCGCATGGCCCACTCAATGGTCTGAGTCTCCCCTGTTAAACGGAAAGAAATGGATGTGTTTATTCTCAAACAAGTAGGAAGCATTGGCCTATTGTCACCTCAAAGGCAGAAGCAAACATGAGAAAGTGATAGCACAATAGTAAAGCTTCAAAAAAAATTAACAGGCACAAATAATACAAAAACTATAAGTCAAAAGATACAGAAGAAAACAAATTACAGATGATATAACAATTTTCTTCGTTAATTAGGAGACTCAAAGCGGAGAAAAAAAAAAAATTGGACTCCATATTAAAGGGAACTGAAACTTTGCAACCAAAATCAATTGGATTGAGTCCGCCATACATAAATTCATCCAGATTGTAATCAATAAATAATGAAACCTCTGACAGCAATAGACAGCTAATCAAGACATCATACTTTTACACCAAACAACATGCAACCAACAATTATCTCCTCTCGTTTTTTCCTCTTTTTTGTTTTTGGACATGCAATGCTAGGTTCAGTTCAATTGCGTGCTTGCCAAAGATCCTAAAACCTACCCAAGTTCATCAAGTATCCCAAAGGGCAACTCAAAGACTTATATATATCCAAGCATAAGAGAAAGAAAAAAACTCAACCACCGTCTGGAAAAAATGAAAAGAAAAATCTCAAAAGGTAATAATAAATCCATACATACAGTGAAACAAATGCTTGGCCAGGGTATCATGGGGCATATACTCAGCAACAAGCAATCTCTCATCACCATCACAACAATACCCAATCAAATTAGCCAGTCTTCGATGCCGCAGCTTCCCAACACCCCATGCCTCCTCCTAAAACCCATCACAAGAAAAGATCATAAAAAACCATAAACTTGAACATAGTATCAGAGAAAAGTAAATACCCATAGTTAAAATCTTAAATCACCGCGAATTGTTTTGGATCAGGCCAGGCCAATTTAGTGAATTTCTTGACGGCGATCCACCGACGGTTCTGTAGACGGCCCTTGTAGACAAGATTGGGGGCTTTTTCGCCGCTTTCGGAGACGATGAAATCAGAGCTGAAGTTGTTGGTGGCAGCTTTGAGGTCTGCAAAGGAAAACTCCGAGAAGGATGGGACTCCGGTGGCAGATACAGGTTCGCCTCCACGGGAGAGTGGTGGGTGGTTGAAAGGTGGGTTTGGACTATGCTGGCGGTGCTGGTGATGATCTTTTTCTGGGTGTGTCTCGGCTTGAAGTTTCGATTCACAGCAGCCCATGACTCTCTTTCACACTTGTGCTCAGATAGCTAGGAAAACCAATTAAGAAAGAGAGATAAAAAAAAAGGGGCAGTGAGAGAAAATGGGATTTCTTTGTTCTTTCTTCACTTCTTTCACTGTCTCTTGTCTTTCAATCTTTCACCCACAGTGATAATAACCTTATTTACAGTGTTAGTTGCGTTACAATACAACGTTGTCTTCAAAACTCGAACAGTTTGGGCCTCTCTCTCACTTTATAAATTCAATCCAAGTTTCTTCTAAGGCATGGTTTGATCTGGTTTAGTGGGTCATAAATATAGGGAGATTATAATAATATACTAATCACTTTTTCAGATGTGTACTAATTGACTTTTAAAAGAAAATTAAGAGTTTGCTAAACAAGAGAATCTAGAGTTTTTCTTACCTTTAGCATCATATTCTTATCGGAAAACCTGTGTATGTGGCACAATTTGGAAGGGTTATGTGGAGGAGACATTTGACTATTTGTCCAGTTTGGACCCTTTTGTTGATCTCTAGTGTTACTAAGATTGCTTTTAGAGTCAGGTGGTTTAGTGATAAAAAAATGTTATCTTTTTATAAATAAAATATTTGAGGTTTGATATTTCAAACACTTTTTAAGAATCCATCGATCCTATTTTTTAGAGTATATAATCGTCGTAAGTCTCGACACTTCTAATAACAAAAAAAAAAAAATCAGGTTACCCGTTCATGACTGGGTTCACATAAGGGTCAATGGCTTGTTCAAATGTGTTTTATAATGGGTATCTTTTTGGGATTTTATATAGTAAACTAATTGGAGGCAGTTGTGCTTTAGAAATGACTTTTTTCTATTATCCTTTNATTCAATCCAAGTTTCTTCTAAGGCATGGTTTGATCTGGTTTAGTGGGTCATAAATATAGGGAGATTATAATAATATACTAATCACTTTTTCAGATGTGTACTAATTGACTTTTAAAAGAAAATTAAGAGTTTGCTAAACAAGAGAATCTAGAGTTTTTCTTACCTTTAGCATCATATTCTTATCGGAAAACCTGTGTATGTGGCACAATTTGGAAGGGTTATGTGGAGGAGACATTTGACTATTTGTCCAGTTTGGACCCTTTTGTTGATCTCTAGTGTTACTAAGATTGCTTTTAGAGTCAGGTGGTTTAGTGATAAAAAATGTTATCTTTTTATAAATAAAATATTTGAGGTTTGATATTCCAAACACTATTTAAGAATCCATCGACCCTATTTTTTAGAGTATATAATCGTCGTAAGTCTTGACACTTCTAATAACAAAAAAAAAAAAAAAATCAGGTTACCCGTTCATGACTGAGTTCACATAAGGGTCAATGAATTGTTCAAATGTGTTTTATAATGGGTATCTTTTTAGGATTTTATATCGGAAACTAATTGGAGCCAGTTGTGCTTTAGAAATGGCTTTTTTCTATTATCCTTGTGACACTAGCAAATCACTAATCGTGACGTGCCATATCAAAGCATCAAAGTTTAGGGCCTACTTATCGTCTTNCTTTTTTCTATTATCCTTTTGACACTAGCAAATCACTAATCGTGACGTGCCATATCAAAGCATCAAAGTTTAGGGCCTACTTATCGTCTTTTTTAATTGCTATCCTGGTTTGGGTTTTAAAACTCGTATCCATCCTTTCCCCAAATGCTAACACTTAAATCAATTGTATTACTTTGATCTTTCTGTCAGTCTCTTTTCCTTTATTCAAAGGCACACACTCCATTGTCCAAATGAAAACAGCGGTGTTGACTTTAAATTATCATCTCAATATTAAATGAAATAAGCAGATTTTAATGCCTCTGCCATTAGTCAAAAGATTATTCCACCAAATCATTTAAGCCAGCTTAACTGCAGCTTTTAAAGGGCTAAACAAGATATTGCAGTATCAAAAGGTTCTGCAAAGACCTTAAAGGTCGGCCAACACCCTGTTCTCTGGTTTTTTCACAACAGACAACTATGCAGCAACGATCGTCAAAGGTTGGCCTGCATCTACCAGTGAAACCGCCACCCGGAGCACCGAGGCAAGTGGACCTGAAGCACAACCCACCCATCGGTGTCCACAACCAGAAGCAGATTTCTATAACGCAAGCTGATCAACAGGAAATTCCGTGATTCAGGCATGTTCAAACACACTTTAGTGACAGAAGGAACTCTGTACAACAACTATATTGATTACACAAACTAATTAAATAGTAACCATCTTTCCCATTATACAAGATCTAATGTTTGGGCCATTCCAGGACAACCCACAGGCCACAACTTAAATAGGTCTTCTACTCATCACGGTGGTAAATTGAAGTAAAATATGCCTTGCTTAATAAATAGACTAGCTCACTTCGACAGGTCTTGGTGAAAGAGCTGGCTTGACCCCCCTCCCCACGTCTATTTAAGGCATGGAAGGCCAGAGGAATGTTGTGTCCCCTCCACAGATTCAAAACCTCAGCTTATAGTTTGGGGCTTGAACCAATTATTGGCAAATCCTCCCCAGTGGAGTTTTTGTAAACTCAAAATCCCATCATATCACAATGTTTCATCTCTCCTTGACACAGCAGTGAGCAGTGGCATATCAAAAACTAAGAGGTTTGAACCGTGTCCCACTTCATGCTGGTAAGTTTGTTTCACATCCAAATAGCCCTCACATGCTCTCACATCCAAACATCACNTCCCATCATATCACAATGTTTCATCTCTCCTTGACACAGCAGTGAGCAGTGGCATATAAAAAACTAAGAGGTTTGAACCATGTCCCACTTCATGCTGGTAAGTTTGTTTCACATCCAAATAGCCCTCACATGCTCTCACATCCAAACATCAACCAACTTAGGCCAGCTACAGCTTTTGAATTATCATAATGATCAAGTTGAGTATATTGCTTTCTCATCACTTGCACATTATCTCTCAATTACATTGGTCGGCTCAAAAATGACCAAAACCATTGGAATTGGGACCTCGATAGTATAGTCTCTAAACACTGGAAATACCAAGGAAATACCAATGTCTGGGCCAGCTGAAGCAGCTTGCAGCCAATCCATGGAAGAAATCCAAAGAAGGGAGTCAAAAAAATGCAACTAGAAAAGAACTAATTTTTGAAACTCCAATTCATCAGTCCATCTCGAGCTTCAAATACANTAGTCTCTAAACACTGGAAATACCAAGGAAATACCAATGTCTGGGCCAGCTGAAGCAGCTTGCGGCCAATCCATGGAAGAAATCCAAAGAAGGGAGTCAAAAAAATGCAACTAGAAAAAGAACTAATTTTTGAAACTCCAATTCATCAGTCCATCTCGAGCTTCAAATACTATCTCAACATGACTGCAAACTGCACATAATGATTCCAATCACCAACAGAGATGACACAGTTTCAGTTCCATTATGCAGCCCTATGAAACTTTTTCAATGTCTTGATCAAGTTTATCCTCTTCAATACGTTGCAACAGCCCCTCATAAACTTTCAGGTTGCTAGCTGTGAACCTCTCCATGGCCTCAAAAATATTTAGCAGGTTCACATGTAGACTACTATTTTTCCTAGTTTCACTCTGATACACTATATGCCCAGTTACTGGGAGACCGTTGCCATCCCCAGAAACCAGAACCATCCTTTTATCTAACACCTGAATCTTCTCCTGTATCTTCTGATCCTCCCTCTCCAAGTTCTTGACTTTCCTCTCCAAATCCTTGTTCACCATCATCCTCTGACGCATTTCTAGCTTATCCCGTTCCCAGAGTTGAAGCACATTTGAGGCAAAATCTCGCATAGAATCAACCACTTCCTTCTCAGAAATTCTCTCCAATGTTTGTGACCACTGATTACAGATTACAAATACAGGCGGTGCGCCTATCCTACCAGGAGAGAAGGGAGCCATACCATCTGGTGTTTCCTCAGGCACATATAGCAGACATTTCAGAAGCCAATTATTTAATGCTCTGACATAACCCTTCTGCGCACCAACCCAACAAGAAAATCTTAAAGCCCAGTTAAGAAGCTCATGTTCAAGCTGCAATGTAGCTTCAAGATGAGTATCAGTTAAGCCTTTGTGGGATGTGATGGCATCTAATCGTCTAGCTTCTCCAATAGCATGACATTGATTACGATGGCATTCATGCATGGATTTCCACATTCTCACTAACCTAGACCAAAAAATCAGAAGTAAGTCACCATCAAAATAACATAAAACACAAAGATCATAGTCTGTATAACCTTAAATAGCGATAAGCACGAGCGATATTTATCTTCATTGTATGTATTTCTCACCCTATAAATAGGGTTGAGTGACTTGAGTCCTATGTAAACAACTAGCAGAAAATAATATATCAGAAATAGTCCTTCGGCAATTTGATCCGTGGATGTAGGCAATAATATGTGCCGAACCACATATATCTTGAAGAATTGATAGAACGCCCAGTTGACTAACACTGTGAGAACAGAAATGCTAGACTGACCAAATTTTGANATGTAGGCAATAATATGTGCCGAACCACATATATCTTGAAGAATTGATAGAACGCCCCAGTTGACTAACACTGTGAGAACAGAAATGCTAGACTGACCAAATTTTGAGACCAAATTTAGAGCCCACATGATATGGCAGCTAATTATTTGGAGTTTTTACTGGGGCTCAAATGACATGACACTAATGAAAGAAGCCCAAGTCAACTGCCATGTCATTTGGGTTCAAAATTTGGTCCNGCTAATTATTTGGAGTTTTTACTGGGGCTCAAATGACATGACACTAATGAAAGAAGCTCAAGTCAACTGCCATGTCATTTAGGTTCAAAATTTGGTCGGTATAGCATTACTCCAGTGAGAATTATGGTTGAGAATGTTGCTAATGACCCAATCAAAATCATTTTTTATAATATTGTATAACACCTTCATTTACAATTTAGCATGAAATGCAGCATACATATATAGCCACATTCATGTATACTTATATTCCTATACAAAATCATAGAGTCCACATGTGCTAGGGCAATGCAGTCTCACAGTAAAAACAACTGGCAGTAAAGAAAGAGGGCGCTAGAGAAACATAGAAAATACTGGCTGAAAAGGCTGACATTTTATAGAGTCTTGNATGTGCTAGGGCAATGCAGTCTCACAGTAAAAACAACTGGCAGTAAAGAAAGAGGGCACTAGAGAAACATAGAAAATACTGGCTGAAAAGGCTGACATTTTATAGAGTCTTATAAGTTTTGTATTTGAGAGGGACCATCGACTGGACTTAATCTTTCTCCCGGAAGTTTTGAAACGTCTTACAAGTTTCCCTCTGTTTTTCATGGAATGAAGGCCGCAAATAAAAAAAGCTTGGCAGGCTAGTCAGTGAATCTCTCAGAACTCTTTACCGGAATCCAGTATTCCTAAGATATCTCAAGGTCATACATGAAGACTTGGAATTGCCCCTATTTCCAACATTTGGTCAGAAAGTAAGGATAAAAACGTTAGGTAAAGCAAGGGTATGACAATATTGCCAAAAACAATAAACTCAAATAGATAATTAACATAAACCTGACAGAATAAACAACTATACATCATAAACACACATGCAAGAGGGAGTTACTAAAAAATGGGAAGGGCTAGACATGTTATCTTAAAATCTTGGAACCTCAAGCCTTAAAGTTCAAAAATTTGTTATTGTGACACAATATCAAATCAACCTAGAAGCCGAAAATCAAAACTTGCAACTATTTTTTTTAGAACTAGTATATCACATACCCTTGAACAAATTCATTTAGCTGTGGCCACAATTCTTCATCCCTCGATTTATTTATTTTCACCGAGATCTTATCAACAACCTGAATTGCAATACGAATTTTTGTGGAAAGACTTCTGACTAAAGTTCTTGTTGCATCAACTTTCTGAGCCTCAGCACCCCTTTCACCTAAGAACTTCAGTTTCCGGCTCTTCCTCTCATGGAGCACCCTCATTCTCTCCTCAGCCTGCAGAAAGCATTGAAGATATGGATTAAAAGAAAAAGTTAACAAGCTTCAAGCTTAACAGGTAAAAATTACATTTGTCATACATCAAACTCCATACATTCGCATGATACTGGCACATATGCACAATGTGTATCTGTGTGCATAGACCATAGGCAGAACATAGAAAATTGAACTTAAATGGAGCGTGGTTGTTTTATTCTTTAAAGGGAAGCTAGTTATGGAATGTCATGATATTGAATGGAAGGAAAATGTGCAATAGAGAATGATAAAACAAATACACATATTGTGCTCGTTTGAGACATTTCCAAATAATGGAAACTTAGCAAGCACCCATCCTGTAACAAGACCTAATCAAGGACACAGTAACGCTAGCCTCAATGCTGAATCCTAAATGCTTCAAGACAGGTTCACATTTCAATCTTCAGAACATCTCAATCATGGATTCTTGATTTCGGATTACTAATGGCTGCTGAACAGATCATAATTACCGAGATCATAGATACCCCATGTGTCCCACAAACCAGTATTGTACGTCCGAAACAGGGTGAGTTCACGATCCAGTTCACCTAAATTTCTAACCCCAAATTGTAACTCAAATTCTAAACCAACCCATGATTCACATAATCCCAAATTGTTACCTTAGCCACAAATTGTAACTTTAAACAATTATTTCTCGTGTTGGTGATCTTTTAAACTGATATTTTGATAGTTTTGATTTTTGATTTTATTTTTCCGCGTAACACAAATATGTGACCATTACCTTCTGTTAGTTACACCTGTTAACCAATACGTTATCTTGAATTCTGATCCGTTTTGAAACTCTTATCAAAGTTATAAAACAAAATAGTTAGCTTTATATACATAATTTCATATAATAGTGTAACTAATCCAGAAGAGGGTTACAAAGTAATCCGCAATCTAAAATAGTGTATCAACTAAGCCTACCCCCAATATCAACCAAATGGAATTCAAGAATCCTCATGTCCACCAGATCTTCCATGAAGCAAATGCATGCACATATCAACCAGCCAAGGAAGGATGGCTCCAAGTTAAGAATAATCTCTTGACCATGTTGTATCCAAGTTTAAGGCTGTTGCTCCGAGATTCAACTAATTTCTTGCTCATTTAATAGCATAATTATTAGTATCGTGCAATACGTTATGATNGAATAATCTCTTGACCATGTTGTATCCAAGTTTAAGGCTGTTGCTCCGAGATTCAACCAATTTCTTGCTCATTTAATAGCATAATTATTAGTATCGTGCAATACGTTATGAAACATATGAAAAAACGATACATATCGTATCTCTGTATCGTATCGTACGATATACGATACGATACGTAAAGATTATGTTTTTTTTTTTTTTGGGTAGAAATAACATCGTTTCATCCTACGATTTATTTTTAAATCACTAACTAGTGAAACAACATCGTTTCAGTGGTTATGATTTAAAAAATAAAAAATAAAGTCTACCATTAATATTGTTCAATTGAATTCAAAATTCCTGATTAACATTAAGGTTGTTCAAGCAATTGACATTTGAAGTTTAAATTAGAAGTCTTTACATTTTGATATTACTAAACTATNATTAATATTGTTCAATTGAATTCAAAATTCCTGATTAACATTAAGGTTGTTCAAGCAGTTGACATTTGAAGTTTAAATTAGAAGTCTTTACATTTTGATATTACTAAACTATGTTGGGAACTTAAATAGTTGGTGATATATAAAAAAAATGTTACGTCATTATGATTTTATGACTTTTTTACAAAGGTATATAATATTTTATTAATAATTATTTAAAATTACGCGTGTCTCACGATACGCGATACGATACGATACACTATTTTTTAAAAACGATATTTCTTCCGATACACAATTTGACAACTATGTTTAATAGTCCCTCATTTCATCTTCACGAAGAAGAGAGAGGTGGGTGAGGGGTCTAGAGAATATGTAAGGATAGAGGTTCACAAGAAAATATTAATAAAGTTAACAGTATTGAGACAAACAGGGGAAAGGAGGATCCATAGGGCATTTGGATGGACGCACATCATTCCAAAGATAGATATATCAAGCTGAGAGCTACAGTACGTAGAGCAATGGGACAAAATGGAAGTAAAAATTGCATCAAAGAACCCAGACCTCTTGTGTCCAGTCTAATACAAATAAGTGAGCCTGAAAAAACTGAAAAGTTGGCAACATCAATAAGGCTTACCTCTCTACAAGAATGGTATGCACCC